TTGTCCCCCCCTTGTCCCCCCCGTGTCACCTCTCCCCACGCTGCTGGCAGGGCTGCCCGCGATAGAGGCTTTGTTTTCCTGCAGGAAGGGGAGAAAAAACAAGTGTGTTGGGACTCGCAGCCTGGGTGTAGTAACAGCTTTTCTCCAGCCTCTGCAGAGATAAGGGTTGTTCCAGCACCAGCAGCGTTTCCCTGTGTTTGGGTGGGCTGCTCCTCTGCCTCGGGCAAGTGTCTGTGTCTGTGTGTGCAGGGAGGAGCGGATCTCGCCCCTCCAGGCTGATGTTTTGGCTGGGTTTTGTCCTTGGTGCAGGCGTTGCTGCTGTCGGTGTGGGCTGGTTGATAGTGTCCCAGCATCTGCCCGGGGTGTCCTTGGCTGTCGTTCAGGCTCTCACACCTGGCAAGAAGATATATTCCAGCATGTTTGCAATTCTGGAGCCCCCAACACAGGAAGGATGTGGAGCTGTTGGAGTGAGGCCAGAGGAGGCCACAGAGATGATCCCAGGGCTGGAGCAGCTCTGCTCTGGAGCCAGGCTGGGAGAGTTGGGGTGTTCAGCCTGGAGAAGAGAAGGCTCCAGGGAGACCTTAGAGCACCTTCCAGTGCCTGAAGGGGCTCCAGGAAAGCTGGGGAGGGACTTGGGACAAGGGCAGGGAGGGAGAGGACAAGGGGGAGGGGATGAAAACTGGGAGAGGGGAGATTGAGGTGAGACATGAGGAGGGAATTGTGGAGTGTGAGGGTGGTGAGAGCCTGGCCCAGGTTGCCCAGGGAAGCTGTGGCTGCCCCATCCCTGGCAGTGTTGAAGGGCAGGTTGGATGGGGCTTGGAGCAACCTGGGCTGGTGGGAGGTGTCCCTGCCCATGCAGGGGGTTGGAGCTGGGTGATCTTGAAGGTCTCTTCCAACCCAAACCAGTCTATGGTTCTGTAAAGTGAAATTCCTCAGCCTGATCTGTGGGAGATGTTTGCTTTCCCTTCCTGGAAGCATTATAAGGCTTATGGAGAGAAGCAAAACCTCAGTGTGATAGACAGTAGGGCTGGATCTCCTCTGAGCAAAGAGCAGGTAGATCTCTGGGCTTTGAAGAAATGAGAGCTCAAGTCCTTGCGTTTTCAGCCCTATTCCTGAGATGGTCAAGGACCTGATGGGCAGACTTTGAACTGTTTGTTCTGGGCCTCCAAGAAAGCACCACTTTCCAGTTGGCTGCCTCTCCTCCTTGTCTGTCTCCACTCCTTGTTGTTGCTTAAGTAATCAGGATTTGTCTTGTTTGAAAGAGCTTAGAGGGGGGGTGGAAAAAAAGGCTTAAGCTTTCTTCTGCAAAGGCCAGAAATAAAGGGTTTAGGCTGTTCTTTGGTTATCTGTTTTCTGGGTGGTTTTCTGCAACGAGCTCTACTAACACAATCAGTTTATCTTCTCTCCTTGACTGTCTTTTGAAACATCATCAATCTAGTTGCTTTTCTCTGCTTTGACTTGGGTGATGAACATTTTATCAGCTGGGGGTGATAATCATCCCCCCCTTCCTGACTCTTTTGTGGTGCTGTTCATTGGAGGCTAAAGGAGCTTTACTGGGTTGGAGAGGCTTCTCCAGAGCTTTGGGGAAGCCATAGCAGCATTTTGGGAAGTATTTGGGAAATATTGCAAAGCCTGCTTTTCCTTCAGTGTGATGCTCCAAATCTCTGCTTCCATATTTTGCATAACAAGTTGGTTTTTTTTTTTACAAAGCATCTAAACTGTGCAGACAAACTGTAACCCAGATGGTTGAGGCTGGAGTGAACATCAAGCTCTTTTGCTGTGCAAACCACAGGGAAAAATCACATGCCATCATTCTATTGGGGGTCATCAAAGTTTTCACTTATTTGTTTCACCCAAAGGTGATAGAAGAACTGAATAGCTTTGGTTTGGGGGGAGTTAGTTGCTGTCAAGGGCTTGATGCTGCCTGTGAGCTCATTTGTTGCCTTCAGCATGTTTGTAAGTTGACATCACCAGGCAGGTTCTGCCTGGCTGTGCTTCTGTGTTTGTTTATGTGGGAGCTTGTTACAAGTTGGGGCGACATTTTAAACTTGTGTCTTTCAGTATACAGCTAAGAATGGGGCAGCCACAGCTTCCCTGGGCAACCTGGGCCAGGCTCTCACCACCCTCACACTCCACAATTCTCTCCTCATGTCTCACCTCAATCTCCCCTCTTCCAGTTTTCATCCATTCCCCCTTGTCCTAAGTCCCTCCCCAGCTTTCCTGGAGCCCCTTTAGGCACTGGAAGGTGCTCTAAGGTCTCCCTGGAGCCTTCTCTTCTCCAGGCTGAACACCCCAACTCTCCCAGCCTGGCAGAGCTGCTCCAGCCCTCCCATCATCTCCATGCCCTCCTCTGGACTCCATGTCCTGATGTTGAGGGTTCCAGAACTGAACACAGTCCAGGTGGAGTCTCAGGAGAGAGAGCAGAGGGGGAAGAATCCCCTCCCTTAACCCTCTGACCACACTTAATTCTCTGTACTGAGACAGTTTTTCTTGGTGTGTGTCAAGGTGCTGCTGTGCAGCCTCTCAGCTCCCTTGCTTCTGTTTAGGAAACTGATACTGGAAGGGGCTGATACTGCAGCTTTGTGCTGGGTATGTCAAGGCTCCTCACCCTTCATGCAAGGCCAGCTTTTGTGATGGGGCCAGTTATCTTAGAGCTGAGTAAATCTAACCATGGGGACCGAATAGAACTCAAACATTCAGGCTTTGTGGTGGTATTTACTGTGATTTTAGGTTAAATGCCTTTATCTGGGTGGTTTCCTATAGGGTGTTTCTGTAATGGCATGTGCAAAGCTTTGCCTTTTCTGTTGGGGTTTTCTAGGGAAGGCTGTGGATGAGGTGTTTTGGGACATGACAGCAGACCCTGTGGCAGCTGTGCCCATGGGACAGAGATCCAGGCAACCTTGCACCATTCCCAGCATGTCTGAGGCTCCTGGAAAGCAAGGCTGCCTTTCTGAGTTGTGTTTTGCAGGGCTGAAACTCTTGGCTTTTTAGCTATAAATCCACTGTGCATGGAAGGAAGTTGAACTATTACACTTGATGTGGGCTCAGATGTTCTGCAGAGGGTTTTGCTCTGCTGTCCTGGACACTCAGAGGTCAGTATTTAAAATTAGATGGAGGGCTTCTTGAAGGTGAAGTTTTAAAGTGCTGCCTGAGAAATGTGCTGATCTCACCTGGCTGCTGTAGCTCTGAAAGGAGCATCTTCAAATAGGATTTCCACTTGGGGAATTTCCAGGTTTATTTATTTTCAGACCTCTAAATTTAAGGGGCAGAGAGAGAAGCTTCTGTGCAAGCTGTGACACTTTGTACCCCTGGCACCTAAAGAATTAGATCATTTCCAGGCTTTCCAGACCATTTTAAAGTACTTTATTTCCAAATACAGACCTAGTGAAACACAGTTGGTCTCTTTTTTTTTCCCTTCCATCACCTGTGCCTTTTGCACAGAAGCTCAAGCTGCCCCAATCCAAAGCCAGCCCATGTTCCTGAGTTGTTCTGCAGTGGTGGTCAGAGAAGGTGGATCTCCAGGCACTGTTGGATACCACACTGTGGTGGGAGCCACTAAAAGAGACACAAAGCTTGTCTGTCACCTGTGACCTAGGACATCTCAGCGTTTCTTAGGTTTCCCTGTGACATCTGTAAAGCTAGTGCTGCTCCTCAGAGTGCTGACTTCTGCTGGGTTCATTGCCTCTTGAGGAGGGACTGGCTTGCAGAGCAAGGTTGAGTTGCCATCTGAATGGGATCTGTGCTTTTTGTGTTCTACCATCAAAAGTGACATTCCCTGGGAGAAGGATTTTGATCCCTTTGCTCACCTGTACTGAGAACCTCAGGATTGGTGCTGATGACATGCAGGATGGTGCCTGTTCTGGGGAACAAGAGTGCAGCTGCTGGCTGAAGTCCTGGATGTTTTCTTGACCATTTTCTGCACTGGGCAGAACTGGGAGCTGACCTCACCTCTGCTCTTCTGCTGGGGGAGCAGCCAAAGCTGGTGGTTGCAGGGGGAGCAGTTCCACTTCTTGCTGGGTGCTCTGCACCTGTAAGATGCTGCTCCACAGCAGCTCTGATTTCTTTTGTATGATTTTTAAACCACAAAGGAAAACTAGGAAAGTGATGGAGTTTCTTCTTTTCTCTTTCTAGCTACTCTTACCTATGACACTCTCAGGTTTGAATACGAAGACTTTCCTGAGACCAAAGAACCCGTTTGGATCCTTGGCCGGAAATACAGTGTTTTTACAGGTATTTTATGTGCATGATGCCACATGCTCTAATGCTCCAGAGGATTTTGTTGGTGTTGGGTTTTGCTTTCTGAGTAGCAGGGTGATTGCACACCTTGTAAGCACACTGCAGAGTCTGTCTGTTTGCTGGCAGAGCACACAGACCAAAACCATCGTGCATCTCCGTGGGCTCTGGTGGTTTTTTCTGCAGAAAGTCAGTGTTTAGTGGTTATTGGGACTTCCGAAATGGCTGAGGCAAAGGAAAAGGCAAGAAAATGGTTTTCTGATTGGTAATTTTGCCTGTGTCTAGGGCATCTTTGGGTTGATTGCTGCTATTTCAGGGGGGTAAAGAAAGCTTCATCTAGGCAGCAGCACCGTCCCGTTGCTCAGCCAGTTCTGCCTCTCAGGGCACACAGGCTGAGTTGAGGAGCACAGCACTGTTGCCAGGAGGGAAGATGGGTGGGAGATGGATTTGGGGCATGTTTTGGTGCCACCCTCATGCCTGTGCCTCTCAATGCTGACCATTTTCCAGAGAAAGAAGAGATCCTGTTGGATGTGACCTCTCGGCTTTGGTTCACCTACAGGAAGAACTTCCCTGCCATTGGTACGTGCTGTGACAGGTCCAAAGGGACCCTAGAAATGATGATAACCCAGATAATCTCCACCTCATAACACAGTCCTGACAAGCAAAACGTGAAGCAGTTCCATTGACATACATTTGAAATGCACTTCATTTCAATGCTAGGATTTTGTTGATCTGATCATGAGAATTCCCTGGGGTATGAGGGGTAACAGTGATTTTTAAAAGGGCACAAGAATGAGTTTGGGATGCTTACCTGGAAGCATCCTTCCTTTGAGCAACATAGAAAGACTTTTGTACTTCCAGTTCACTAAGTCCTACATAAATCATGGAATCATAGTAGAGTCCCAGACTGGTTTGGGTTGGAAGAGACCTTCAAGACCATCCAGATCCACCCTCCTGCATGGGCAGGGACACCTCCCAGCAGCCCAGGTTGCTCCAAGCCCCATCCAACCTGCCCTTCAACACTGCCAGGGATGGGGCAGCCACAGCTTCCCTGGGCAACCTGGGCCAGGCTCTCACCACCCTCACACTCCACAATTCCCTCCTCATGTCTCACCTCAATCTCCCCTCTTCCAGTTTTCATCCATCCCCCTTGTCCTCTCTCTCCCTGCCCTTGTCCCAAGTCCCTCCCCAGCTTTCCTGGAGCCCCTTCAGGCACTGGATTTATCTAATGTGAAATATTATATAATCATGGTCTTAAGTTTGAAATGGATTAAAGAGATGAAAGATGATACAGAAATCACTGCCTTTCTGCATCTACTCTCTGGACTATATGGGATTTTTTTTTTTTTTATTTGTGGCTTTGTTTCTTTTTAATTCCTGCAGTAGCTGCTAAACAAGGGAACTGTAGTTTATATGGGGAACTTTTACCAGTGAATACAAAGGAGAACATGTTGGTTCCTTAAGATATTCTGCATGGTTTGGTTTCATGTTCTGGGTGGAAGGCACATCAGAAGAGATGGATTCCAAGCCCCACTGTCAACATCATCCTCAGCAGTTGGTGGGAAAATGGCTCAGCTTTGGGGAAAAGAGACTTCTTGGAAGCTGGTCTTTCCGGCTTGTTCTGTTCTTTGCCTCAGAAGGCATGAGACATCTTGGATGCAGTTTAATCCCTTTAAATTCATGTTTATGAGCCATAGTTCAAGATGCATTTGAAATGGAAGGGTTGGCATGTGTTTAACTATGGCTGACAAACATGATTGAGGTTTCTGTGGGTTATTAAAGGGCAGGGGGTGGGAAGAAATCCCATTTCCTGAGTCATTTTCCATGTACGCTATAGATACAGGTTGCACGTCTACAGCAAACCTTTTCCAGTCTGTTTTCTCCCAGTCATCCCTTTTATTGTGGGCACTTTCCTCTGTGTGTAAACACTGGGAGCTCTCCAGACGTTATGGGCAACGTCTTATGCTAATTTTGGGAAGCATTATCCATTTTGGATGTTGCAAATTGTTGGCAAAATGACAGGAGGTAGATGCTGCCCATCCAGGAGTTGTTTCAGTACTTGTCTTGGGTGATTCTTCGCCCTGTGCTTTCCATTGCATGGTATTGGAAGGGAAAAAAAGAAGCAGAATCACAAAGAAACTACTTCCAGCAGCTGTGCTGAGGAGCAGCTGAATGCTTGTACACTCCCTGTGGTCACACTGAACATTTTATCTATGAAACTTGTAATAAGTGGAGGAGGAGCAGTTTCCTTTTGAAGCTCTGACAGGGAAATGCTTCCAGTCTTAAGGCCTTTTTGTCTCAGACTTCCCAGCAAAATCTAATATCCAGTTTATTCCCCAACATTATAGAGGATGTGGGGGTTTTTTTTGTTGCTGGGGTGGGGGTTTTTTTGGCTGGTGGGATGTTTTGGGATTTTTTTTGGCTTGTGTTGTTCACTTGGGAATCTCAGGCAGTCAGAGCTGCTTGTGATGTGGGAGTTCCTTGGTTGCTGGTTTGTTTTGCATGATGAGCTGTGCCTGTAACAAGCACCTCTGTGTAGAAACGTGGCTCTGAACTGGACTGGGAGTCTCCAATTAGGCTCAAGAGCTGTTGTGCTCCTGACAAGTTCATCTCTCTTTCTAGTTGAATTGCTACAGGGTTTGGTTTGTTTGGTTTTAATGCATGACATGAAGTTACTCACTGATGACTTTATTTTTGTTTCTCAGCCTGGGGTGTGTGAACTAAGGTAGTCCTTATTCCCTGCCTGATTTCTTGGATGAACCTGCTACCCCTGCAGACTTATTTCTTCTCCCTCTTGGCCCTATTTCACTATTAATTCCTTATTTCTTTTCTCTCCTCATTTCCAGGAGGAACTGGTCCCACATCTGACACTGGCTGGGGCTGCATGTTACGGTGTGGCCAGATGATCTTTGCTCAGGCCTTGGTCTGCAGGCATTTGGGAAGAGGTAAAGCAGCACCCAGCCCATGCTGACCTCCAGGGCCAAGTTTTGTGAGGAGAGCAGATAACAAAGGGACAGCTGTCAATTCCACAAGGCTCTGTTTTTCTTTAGTTTCAAATCCAGGGCTGTGGAGAGGCAAGTCCTTTTCCCTGCTGTCTGCAAGGTGGCAGCATGGATAGATGCAGTTGTCCAAGCCTTAAAACAAAGCAGGGCCCTGGAGCATTGCTACCTAAACCCACTCAAGCCAAGCAAGCACTGAATTTTTCTTGAAGGGTTGGTTTTGTTGATAGTTGAAGTTGAAAGTTATAGTTGAAAGCTGTAGTTGAAAACAACTCAGTGACCCATTGTTTGTAGTTCAGTTTTGTCACTCAGCCCTCACTGAGAGTCTCCTTTCCTTGAATTCTTGTGCTTGATCCATGCTTGGTCTGTGAGCAGCTCTGCCAGATAGGCTTTTTTTTTTTTACCATTGTTGTTGTCCTTTGAATTTGTAGGGGATGATTTTTGTAGTGAGGTCACCTGTTTTGTTCCCAGAATCTGTAGCTCTCACCTGCCCGTGAGAAACTGGGATCCTCTTTCCCTCCTCTGTGGGATTGAGGTACCATTTGTGGGTTGGGTTTTTGGTATTTCTCTGGATGGAATTCCTTTGCCTTAGCTGGGAAAATGTTTACTTTAAAGGATTCATTTATATTTTTTATTTAGTGTTAGGAATGCCTCACATGCGTAGTAAGGAGATAGCAACATGAAAATCCAGTCAGCTGGATGCACAGGGAAGAGAGTTTGCAGCTTGCTAATAAAGATCATGTTTTGTTTCATCTATCCCTTTGTCACAGACTGGAGGTGGATCAAAGGGAAGAAGCAGATGGATAATTACTTCAATGTTCTTAATGCCTTCATTGACAAAAAAGACAGCTACTACTCCATTCACCAGATAGGTAAGTGCTGGGTGTTGAAGAGTGGGTTTTCCAGGAGTGTAGAACATAATTTCCCCCAAAAAAACCCAAGCAGGTCAGCTGGAACATGAAACCATGCTGCTTATCTCCTGACCTGATGTCAAACTGCCACGCTTTATTATGGATGGTGATGGATTTTTCCTGTTGACTCCACCAAAACCTTCAGGTTTGCCTCATGCTTTAGATTATATTCAGCATCACTTCCCACACCCTAGCTAAGGTGGGAAGAACCCCTGAGGGTGCTGTTCTCACTGGGACCTTGTCCTGGGAGAAGATTTCCAGGCAAAGACATTTTCAGGAGGAGCAAATGGACCAAAGAAGGATCTTGCTTTGATATAAACTATATAATCCTACTTGAAAAGAAAAGAGGAGCAGCCTATTTTGTTTCTCCTGGAGGGTGTTGAGGCACCTGTAACTTCAGTGAACAGAAGCTCATGTTACAGGGGTCATCCTGGTAACTAAACACTCTCAAGTTTCTTCTGAGGTAATTTTGAATTTCTGGGTGATTGCATTTTGGAGACAGTATTTGCTTGACATTCCTTCAGGATGTTCTTTCCTCTCCCATCTACACTAAGATACCTCAGGAAGGGGCAGATTCTCCTAACCCAAACATGTTCCCATGTGAGATTTCTTCCCTATTCCAACTGATTAGGCTGCAAGTCTAGGTGAAATTTGCTCAGTTATTTTGTGGTTTGTTTGTTGTTTGTTTTTCTTATGATGCAGCCCAGATGGGAGTTGGAGAGGGAAAATCCATAGGTCAGTGGTATGGACCAAACACAGTTGCTCAAGTGCTCAAGTAAGTGCTGGGGTTTTTCCTCTGTGTCTTCTGATCCAAACACTAATCCAGTTTCTCCTCTCTTTATCCTGGAGTTGTGACTAATTCTTGCTTACTTCATTTTGATCTTTTTTGTTTTCCTTTCCTGTAGAAAACTTGCAACTTTTGATACCTGGAGTTCCCTGGCAGTACATATAGCCATGGACAACACAGTAGTGATGGAAGAAATCAGTAAGTATCACATGGAGATAGCATGTGGTGTAGCCTCTGGCAGCAAGAAGCCAGGAAAAAGAAAACTGGAGGTCTTGTAGTACAATGTTTTGTCCTAAAGTTGTGGCCAAGGTGCTAAAACCAGATGAGAGTTGCTGTCCTAGGGCAGGGAAGCTCCTTGTTTGACTTTAGCTTCATCTGATAAAGCCTCTGACTTGGCCCTGTGGGCTCTGGATCTGGAGAGAAGGTCTGGTGGCTTCCAGAGAGTGGGTGGGAGCTGCTTGGAGGGCAGTGTCAAATTTGCTTCTGGCCACAGGTAGCAAGCAGTAGATGGGAGCTGCAATCCTGCATGGTCCTGGCCACACAGGCCTTCCCCTGGTTGGCTTGAGACTTAACTGGTGAGTGCCCAGCACAAAATCATGCCCTGTGCTCTGCAGTGGCACATGGAACAGTCTAGTGAGCACTGGAGCTGCTGCAAGGTGACAGATGAGGTTGTGACAGGCAGCATCTGGGCTGGCTTCTGCTGCCACTGAGCCAGAGTCAGTTAACTGGCAGTTTGTCCCTGGAGTGCAGGACAGTCCCTTCAGAAAGTCACATCTCCTACCTGGTCATCTCAGTTAGGCCAAGAATCTGGCAGAGAAGTGCCTGATTAACCTTGGGTACATGTGGTCCCCTGAAGGTCTGTGCTTGGCTTAAACAAGGGCCAATGTGCAGCCAGAAATGGGACCTGCTTTTCATCCTGGGTCTGAAAACCTTGTCTGGAGATCCCAAGCTTGCTGGCTGGAGGCTTGGGTGGGCTGCAGGCTCTTGGTTGGGTGGCACTGGCTGTTCAAGGAGTGTCTCCATGCAGCTTGTAGTGTGCAGGGGGTATTTCTGTTCCTCAAGTGTGAATCATCATCATCATGTGCAGGGCCTGAAAGTCACTGCACGAGTGGGTGTGATGTCTTACCTGCCTGTGGGTGTAGGTGTGCCCCAAACATCTGGCAGGAGGGAAGCATTCAGAAGTCAATGCTGTTCTGTGTTTCATCTGTTAAATTGGGTCACTGGAGCAGTTCAGCCTGAGGTTCATAGGAATGAAATGGTTTTTCCTACAGCAGGGAAGAACCATCCACCTTGATCCCTCCTGAGTCAGGCTGTTGTGTCAGGAAGGGGCTGAGTTGGGTGTTGGAGGATCCTGTGCATCAGGAAAGTGGGAAGAAACCAAGGCAGCAGCAAAGCCAGGAGTACCTGAGAGCAGCTGCAGCTGCAGCAGGAGAGATGTTTTGACAAATCTTTTGGCATATGTTTGCAGGAGATGGTTTTGCATCCAGCTGGGAAGCTCTGGGCAGGTTCCATTGTGCTGGGGCTCCAAAGCCTGCCAAAGAGGCAAGGGGAGGGTGGTCAGTGCTGAGGTCCCTGCTGCTTCAGCTCAGGGTAGGTACAGTCACAGTACAGTGCAGGATGGCCAGGGGTTGGCCTGAGGTGACAAACTGCAGTGACACCCTCTGCAGCCACAGCCCTGGCACCTGGTTTCAGAGCAGAACAGGCAGGCTCCTGCAACAGCAGCCAGAAGTGATCTTTACTGTTCTTGATGCTGTCAAAAAAAACATGAATAATGCCTCTCTGCTTTTTCTCAGATACCTGGAATGTGTCTTTGACACCTTCTCCCTCCCTGAGGGACAGTATAAGGAGCCACTTGACTTTTCAGTACAGGTTGTCCCTCACACTGAGGCTTTAGATCCAGCTCCTGTTTCTTCTCACCTTGGGTGTGACATTCTCCTTGTTCAGCTGAGTTTGAAGCTCTTAGTGAGCAAACACCCTGCTGAAGTGGCTGGTGCTGAAGGTGTTTGTTTACATGGTGTCCTACCTGCTAGAGTGTCATGGCACTCTGCTCAGGCAAGGAATAAATTAAATGAGCCCCTGGCATTTCGTTTAATTGCCTTGGCTTCCTGATTAAAGTCCTGTGGGTTTCTTTGGGGTTTAGGTTTTATTTTTCTTCACACACCCAGCAAGTAATGAAGTTGGCTGGTGAGACAGGTAGGCTTGGAGGTGTTTCTGTCCCAGAATGTACATCATCTGGTGGAATTACAGCCTGGCTGTGTGTTTTTTGAGCCTGTACAATAAGGATGCACAGCACTTATGTATCTGCCCTGAGGAGTTTTACTGCCCCACATCTTGCAGACAAAGCTCATGCTGTAATTACAGAGTTCATCCTGCTTTAGGGCTCCAAAGTAGCTTCTGAATGATCCCTGCTAAAAACTTGTGAAGGCTTTAGTGAACTTCAGTAAAATTCCTGTAGACAGACACCTTGTTTGTATCTTTTTACAGCTCTAGTGACAGGTGAATATTCCCTCTGTTGAGCCACAACACTTTTTTCCTCATTCCATTCGACTGTCCTCATACCCTCCATGAACTCCTCTGGAGTTGAATGCTCCAGATGTTTCTCTTCCTGCCTCCACGTTCTCTAGATTCAGGACTCTTGCCTGCCCTCCTAATCAACTTCTTCAACTTCTAATCAACTCCTTCAGCCTTGTTGGCACAGGTTGCTGCTTAGCTGCTCACCTGCTGGAAAAATACAGGTGGTGACTGTGACTCCAGCTCTGCTGCCATCTTGATGTAGGTGTAGAAGGGAGGATATCCATCCCTTGATCCCAGCACTGGAGTGTTTTTTCCTCTTCCTTAAGTGCTGGAGACTTCTCAGAGCTGGGATAGAGTGACTCAAGGTCTGGAAACAGAGGTTGTTCCTGATGCTTTCTGCTCATGTTCCCTTCCTGCAGGGCGGCTGTGCCGGTCCCACTCGCCCTGTGCTGGAGCTGCAGCGTGTCCTGCTGTGGAGTCAGACCTGCTCTGTAATGGGTTCCCAGGGGAAGCAGAGCTTAGGGATAGGCTCTCCCAGTGGAAACCCCTGGTGCTGCTGATACCTCTTCGCCTGGGGCTCACAGAGATCAATGAAGCCTATATTGAAACACTAAAGGTAAGGGACCTGGAGCTGAATTCTTGGTGTTTGGGTGCTGAAGGACCCTGTTGTGAATTGGGTTTTGGAGCAAAGATCCTCAGGAATGTCCTGTTTTCAAAAGAAAAACTGTACTTAGGCACAATCTTTGTCAGAGGTCAGGGTATGGATTCTGGCAGGCTTTAATCAGGAAAATGTGTGGGGTTGTGGTTTTTGGTGCTTGGGGTTTGTTTTTTGAGGATGTTACTTCATGACTGAGTCTCAGTCCCTCTGTGTTTAGATGGTACCAACCTGCTGAAGCATTTTTTTTTCAGCACACCTGCACTGTGCTTGGTTGGTTGGCAGCCTGAGCATTAAGGAATGCATTGTTGCACACTCCCCTGTGCAGCAGCTCTCTGTTTGCTGGAGCTTGCACTGCAGGCTGAGGCTGGAATTTGGCTGCTGACTGCAGTAGGGAGCATCAGGAGGCTGAATTTAGGGTGTGCAGAGTCCATGCACAGGACAGGGTGCACATTGTCTTGCTGGAAAGCTCTGAGCTGCAGAGGTAAGAGCTCTAAATTCACACAGAGTGACTTGCCCTTAGATGTTGGATCTGGATAAGAAACTTACACTGTTCCCTGATGATCATTTCCTCCCGAGAGCAACTGTTGCCACCTGATGACAAGTCCAGGATATCTTGCCCTCTGACTGCAGCAGACCCAGGACACACCTAGGCTGGGTCCTGGAGTAGTGCTGCTGCTTCCATTTGCTCCACTTCTCTGTTCCTGTCAGCAGTTCAAGCTTTTGAGTTGCTTCTCTGTTGATTGAAGGCCCCACGTTGTGACCTTCAGCCTTCCTGGTGGAGCTGCTCTCCAGAAAAAGCTGTTCCTGCTCATTTTGTGTCTTTCCTGCTGCATTTTTTGAGATGTTTGTCACCACCTGCTTGTCTCACTGTCTTGTCAGCTGGATGTTTTCTGGATTGCTTTTCCAGCACTGCTTCATGATGCCCCAGTCCCTGGGAGTGATTGGAGGGAAACCAAACAGTGCTCACTACTTCATTGGCTACGTAGGTGAGTGCCCAGAGTTACTCCAAAGACTTCCCAGCTCTCTCTTCCCCCAGTTGAAAAGCACTTGTAGAGCAGTACAGCTCTCCTGCTAGGCCTATGGTCCATGCTGCAGGGTTCCTCTTTCTTGCTGGGAGCCTGGAAAGCTGCTGTGGACTGAACCTCTTTGTGAGGACCTCAGTGGTGTCACACAGGCCCTACATTTCACTGGGTGATGCTGAATCCTGTCTGGAAAGAGGTGTCCATGGAGACGTCTTCCTGCAGCCTGAGCTGACCTCCCTTAGGGGCTTGGCTAGATGTAACTGTCCTTTAGTTCTCCCCTTCCTGAAACCCTACAAACTGTTGTCCTTTTATTCTCCTCCTTCCCTCTGATTTTCTCTCTCTGCCTGAGACCTCAACCTGGTTGTGCTTTGGATTTGGGGCTGATTTGAGCTTGACACAGGAGCCTAGAGGGCACGTGGAGGAACAGGATCCATGTAGCCCCTTTGCCTTGAGCCCAGGCTGTCACTGTGGAGTGTGGGCACCCTGGTTCTTTTGGCTCTTGGCCTGGATGAGTAGCATTTGGGCAAGTGGAAGCAAGTTGCCCCTGTAGAGTGTGGGTTCCTTTGTGAGGTTTTGAGACCTGGCTCATCACTCTTCCTCCTCTTCATATCTCACCGTTTGCTTCTCAAAAAGACCAACTTCTGGCCTGGTTCTTCCTCTTCATGTCTCCTTGCCTGTCTGTCCAGGTGAGGAGCTCATCTACCTGGATCCCCACACCACCCAGCCTGCAGTGGAGCCCACCGACAGCAGCTGCCTGCCTGATGAAAGCTTCCACTGCCAGCACCCCCCCTGCAGGATGAGCATCGCTGAGCTCGACCCCTCCATCGCCGTGGTGCGTTCCTGCTGCTGCCCTCCTGCCACCTGAAGGGGCAGTGCTGTGGTCCCTCTGTTCCACATCTGTCCCTTTCCCCTGGGAACTGGGCATTAGAGGGGCATGCTGGGCTGCCCTGGGGTTCAGTTGGGTGAAGAAGCTTCTGTTGCAGGAAGCAGGTTGTTCAGTTCAACAGGGCAGTGGGTGGTGTAACTGCTCCCAGTCCTGGCCACCATCAATAAAAGGCCTTAAGACTGAAATAATCAACCTACAATATGCAGAGATAATTTTTAATTTATCTTTTTCTCCCCCAGGGCTTTTTCTGCAACACAGAGGAAGACTTTAATGATTGGTGCCAGCAAATCAAAAAGGTTTGTGTTTATATCTCTGGGAAGGAATAGAGGGCTTTGTCTTGTTTCCAAACCAGTGCCCAGAGACCATGTTCTCTGCAGCATCTTCTCATTTGCAAGCAAATGAAGATAGTTAATTAACCCACCAAAAAGAGCACAGCTCAGCAGCTCTCCTGATGGTGCAGAACTGGTTGGAGAGATGTTCTTGTCAGCTGCAGTGAAGTCCCAACAGGTGGTTATTCCCCCTTAGTGATCTAGAGGACAGTGACTAGAGGGATTTTGGGTTCTCATGGTTCTGCTCTTGCTCCACAGCTGTCCCTGGTCAGGGGAGCTCTGCCCATGTTTGAACTGGTTGAGCGCCAGCCCTCCCACTTCTCCAGCCCTGATGTCCTGAATCTCACACCAGGTGAGGCCGTGCAGGGGGAGAGAGGGTGGGATGGTCCCTTTGGTTTGCTGGGAATTGTGTGGGATTGCACAGTGAAAGGCTGAGAGAACTGGGTTTGTTCAGCCTGGAAAAGAGAAGATTCAGGGGAGACCTTATCTCCACGTTCCAGTACATCAAGGGTGACTCCCAGGAAGATGGAGACTCCCTTTTTTACAAGGAGTCCCATGGAAAAGACAAGAGGTGATGGGTACAAGTTGTCAGACATTGGAATAATCTCCCCAGGGAAGTGGTGGATTCCCCTACACTGGACAGTTTTAAGTCTCAGCCTGACAGGGTACTGGGCCATCTCATCTCAGCTGTATTACTACCTAGAAAGGTTGGACCAGATGATCCTTGAGGTTAATCATGGAATGATCATAGAATCATGGAATGGTTTGGGTTGGAAGGGACTTGAAAGATCATCCAGATCCAACCCCCTGCATGGGCAGGGGCATGTCCCACCAGCCCAGGTTGCTCCAAGCCCCATCCAAGGATGCACAGGAGAGACATCAAGTAGATTCCCCACAAAAGGCACCCTACTGGCTGCTGCTGGGGGAGTGCATGGTGTGCAACTGCATTGCCCAGGAGTTGGATCAAAGGCAACCGTAGCAGAAAACAGCTCTAATACAAAAAAATGTTCTCATATCACTTCACTGGGCCAGGAATTTTCATGGATATTAGAGCAGACCTGGGTCAGTTCTCTGATTTTGAGCCTCCTAATGCAGTCAGAGCACAGTTACCCTGCACCAAGGGTCTGGCAAGCGTGGTGCCCCTTCTGCCCACCAGATCAATCTCTCCATTTCCATGCTGCTGACATGTTCTCATCCCTCTTCAGAGCCTTCATTCAGGTGTGTCAGAGCCTCTTGGAGCTTGCAGGCCACGGACACTCCAGTTCTGCTGCCCTCCAGCTGCTGCTTTTGCTGATGGTGACACTTCTTCTCTTGCAGACTCCTCCGACGCCGACAGATTGGAAAGGTTTTTCGACTCTGAAGATGAAGACTTTGAAATCCTATCCCTTTGAAAACAAATAGGAAACTGACTCTGCAAATCTGTGTTTCATGTGGGGAGAAGGGGGGGGAGGGAAGCTCCTTTGAGAGCCTGGGGCTGCTGGGTTTCATAGGCACTTGCTGCCATCCCCACCTCTTGTCCATCCTGGCCTTCTGCGCAGCCTCCGAGCGGAGCGCGCGCCTTGTCTGCGTTGGGATGAAGAACCAAGGGGGTGTTGTAGCCTTACTGGCTGGAGTTGGAATTTCTTAGCAGAAAACAGTTGCTGGAAGTGGATGCAGTGGTGCTTAGGAGTTCAAAGCCTATCTGGGACATCAGCAGGTCAGTTGGCCTTCTGGGGGAGGCGTGGAAATGGCTAAGTGCTAAATCCTTTCCCAGGGACTCCCCTCTGAAGCTTCAGAACCACCCCTCATGTAGCAGGTAGAATGTAGAGTTAATTCCTTTAGCAGCTTCTCACTGGACAACTTGGACTGCAGCTCAGGATGCAAATGAACAGCAGGCATGTCCCACCAAGGCAGCTGTGAAGCCCCTGGAGTCCAGACTTCCTACAGTACAACTCCTGTTGGTGCTTTGCAGTGCACAGCAATTCCTCGCAGGTGTAGTGCCCTTCTCCTGCTCACCAGGAAGTTGAGGGAACTTCCAAGTAGTTACTAGTAGAATTACTTAGGGTAATTCCGTAAGTGGAAGGTTGGGGAGGAACCATCTCAATCTCAGTGTAAGTAACAGCAGAAATAAGGAAAGGAGACTAGAAAATGTGGAGGTTCTTCAGTCGCCAAAGCCTTGTGCTCCTACAGTACCTTTAGGGAAGCTGCTTTGAGCAGAGAACTGTGGGTTCCACAGCCTTGGGGGGGGAAAAAAAGTCCACAGCTGGGAGAGGTGAAGCAGGACAGCTGAGATCTGCCAGTCAAGTCCTGCTTGTGCCTGCACCCCAGTGTGTTCAGTGGTGGCTGGGAATTGATCCTGTTGGTACCGAAACTGGGAGCCATGAAACTCCTCAAGGTGTCCTCGGTGGCTTGTTCAGTAGTTCTTCCAACTACTCCTGTGAGACATTTCCTTTCCAAATCAGAAAAGGTGTCTGAAGATGGAGTAGGCTTCCCACTTACCCTGGTACCTTTGGTCTTTTGCCAGCTCCCCCTCCCTGCAGAGCATGCCCAAAGGGTACTGTAGGAGCTCACCTGGAGAAACCCAGCTCAAGTTATCATCTCAGAGAGGGCAGCAAAGACAGAATGCCTTGAGTAGGTCCAATGATCCTGGAAAACTTAGCTCCTTTAGGATGATCCAGCTCTCCCTGGGGCCTTTCTCCAACACAAGAGTTCAGAGAAAGGTCAAGGAGGAGAGAACTGTTCTAAATGCAAACTGCAACAGGATTTGCTGAAGTAGTTTCCTTAGTGCATGCTGCAGGTTGCAGACCTGTTCACAGGGCTTTTTGTTTGGTCCATTTAGGATTGGAACCTGTCAGTTGATGCTTTCATGCCCAAGGGTGGCTAGAAATGACCCATTTCCCCCCCCATGACTGACCTACTGATGCTCTTAACTCTCCCTGTGCTGTCTCCAAAAGCAGAGGTTTGGACTGGGAACCACCACAATGCTTCTGTCACTAAATTATTTGCTGCTTTCTGCCTGCTTCTCCTCTTCTCTCTCTTGTAGTCAGGGGAAGAGGCAGCAGAGGAAATGGGGCTGTGCTCCATTCATCTGCTTTCAATTTGTATCTGAATAAACAGATCTAAAATCTTGGCCTGTCCTAATGTTCCTGCAGGGAAACTGGAGATGGTGGTCGGTGGTAACTGGTAACTGCTGGTTACTAGCAGGTTGGGAATGCTGGTTGAAATGGCTGCACTTCTTACCCTTTTAGGGCAAAGGTGGTAGGTGGGAGCTTAAAGTTTGAGCCATGTGCAACTGTGGCTTTTCTCTTCCTATTGGTGTATCCCATAGATACAGCAGGTTGTTCCTGCCCCAGAGGGTGAGGAAAAAAAACCACTTCCACATCAATTCCTCAGGTTTAAGTTGGGTGAAGGTGGGGCAATCAAACCATCCTTGGAGGCTGTCCCTTCTGAGTGGAGCATCTCTGCTTCTACAACACTGGAAGATGTTCTTCTACAACAGGAGATGCTGCTGTGGTCTCTGCTGTGTGTGCTCTTGAGGTAGAGAAGGAGCCAAGACTCAAAACTAGGTCGGAAGGAGAAACCTGGTTTCCTTGATGGGTTGTATCCCCACCATTTAGCTCTTGGAACTTGCAGCTTCCCAGTTGCCAGGGGGGCTTTTAAAGCCCAGCTCTGCAGCAGCCAATGGTACAGGAGGATGTGTGGTCAATTCAACAACCATTTTTTCCTGTTTTGTTGCTTTTTCTCCTTTTTGTTGATGGCTGGTGACTCAGAACACATTGTACCCAAGAAGAAAAGAGGTACCACTTATAGTCACACTTCTAGGGTTAAGAACAGCTCAGCCAGACAAGATTGTACCTGAGTGGTAACCCCAAGAACAGAGCTGAGCTCAACTTTCTTGGCTCTTTAACAGGTATTTCTGGCTTTTAAAGTCAGGAGCCTAAAGCTCATCTGGATGAAATGACTTCTCTGTGTGGTTTCTACTTCCACTGTTGCTGGCAGGGCCTGGGTCAGTGTTCCAGGTGCTCCCTCCTTCAGGGTTTCTGCCACCCAGTGCAGGGAGGGCAGCAGACTTTTCCATTTGGGCTGATTTAGAAGTTTTGTTGGAAACATTAACCCTCCTCTCCCTGCTAGTGGATCAGTTCAATCCCCTTCTCCTGCCAAGAGCAGGAGTAAGATTAGGTCGCTGGATGGGCCAGCCTGGAGATCAGTCCAGCCCACACTGCCAGAAGGTGAGTTACCTGCCCAGCAGCCAGAATTCACTCTCCTTGCTCATCCCTAAACCTCAGTGCACCTTGCCAGTGATTCCAGTTTGCTGCAGTTTGCTGGTCATTACTGGTGCCTTGGGTCAATTCCCAGCTAAGCTGGTTTGCCAGCCTGTGCTGGGCTGTTTCAGTTGCACTGAGCTCTGGGTCAGAGTTTGATCTTGGCCACAGGAGTAACCTGACCAGCCTGAAGGAATTTATGTGCCACTCCCTCCTCAAACTGGCCCTGCTATGAGCTCAAAATCCATCTAGTTCAGACACTTCCTTGCTCAGGGCACTTCAGTTTGTGTTTTGCTCCCACTGAGCAGCTGGGGAACAGACTTGAATTTCTCTCTCGCTGAACCACAACACCTTCACCCTCCCATTTATCCTTCTAGAAGATAAAATGGTGGCACTGGCAAAAGAAATTCAAATGCCCCACGTTGCAAAGAATATTTATTAAAAAGTCTTCTCCAAACTGGTTTCAGCAGAGGGGATGGATTTACTGGAGAGGCAGAAGAATCAGGAACATGATAATTCCATGTTTCCTGCCTGGTGCTGCTGGGCAGCCCTGGACTCTGTATCTACAAGACTTGGAGCTAGAACCAGAGGTCCTACCTGAGGCAGAGAGGTTTCCCAAGGGATTTGTCACACTCTCACTGCATATTAATTTCTCAAACACAGCAGGGACTGTGCAGGCTGGAGAGGAAGAGCAGAAATCACAAGGACTGTGGTGGATCCAAAGGAATAGCACAGGATCTAAGCTGTAGCTGCCAGCAGGTGATGGAGGAGTCACCCCACTAAAAGCCAAGAGGTGAGTTTTCCCTCAGGTCTAAAATCTAGATGGTTTTATATCCAGAGTTGTCCCAAAGGTTTGTTCTGAACCTCCTTCATGGTTTCCTCTGCAATGGACTTGATTTCTCTGTGCAAGTCTTCTATGCTCTTAGAAGCATCTATTGTCTGTTTCCAAAAAGAAAAAGAGAAACATGTTCCTCAATTAACACCACAGGAGAACTCACCTTGCTGGTCTGTCTGCTAACCCCAGGCCTCAATATTGTTCCTGTTCATAAGCAGGGAAAGGATCTAATTCCACCTCCTGTGCATTATTTGGAATTGGGGGGAAAAGAAAAATCTATTCAGGAATAGGCATTTCAGAAGTAGATGTGGGGCTGTATCAAGGAGAAGCTGCTTGTTGTTTGCTGACAGACTTTGGGGCAGGTACTTGTAATGACAATGGATTGTTGTGATCATGTCAGGAAATCTCTTCCTCATCTGTTCTGAAGGCAACTCTGTCCTGGGCTGTGTCACCAGCAGAGTGGCCAGCAGGGCCAGAGAGGGAATTGTCCCCTCTGGAGTCCCCAACACAAGGACATGGAGCTTCTGGAGAGAGTCCAGAGGAGGCCACAAAGGGCTGGAGCAGCTCTACTCTGGAGACAGGCTGGGAGAGTTGGGGTGTTCAGCCTGGAGAAGAGAAGGCTCCAGGGAGACCTTAGAGCACCTTCCAGTGCCTGAAGGGGCTCCAGGAAAGCTGGGGAGGGACTTGGGACAAGGGCAGGGAGGGAGAGGACAAGGGGGAAGGGATGAAAACTGGGAGAGGGGAGATTGAGGTTGGAGATGATGAGGAAATTCTTTGCTGTGAGGGTGGTGAGAGCCTGGCCCAGGTTGCCCAGGGAAGCTGTGGCTGCCCCATCCCTGGCAGTGTTGAAGGGCAGGTTGGATGGGGCTTGGAGCAACCTGGGCTGGTGGGAGGTGTCCCTGCCCATGCAGGGGGTTGGAGCTGGGTGGTCTTGAAGGTCCCTTCCAACCCAAACTATTCTGTGATTGATAGTTGTGCATTTAAATTTTAAACCGCTGCTTTAAGTGCACCTTTAAGTGCTTTAAACAACTGCTGTAAGTGAAAACTCTTTTCAAGCAGTGGACAGAAAACAAAAGCAGGAACAGAAGACAGGCAATAAATGTGTTACACTGCTGAAACCCCTGGTAAAACCAGTTCCCAGACTGTATCTCATAGAATCATCCCCTAGAATGTGATGGGCACAATTTGGGAGCCATCATGAGACACCCCCACCCTGCTCTGTGACAGGCCCATCAGGATCATCTCCTCACCTTCCAGTTTAATGTCTCATCCTTCATCAGGTGATAGAAGGACTGTAGGACCTTCTCCTGGAAGGTGCTGTTCTCATAACGTTCCTTTCCAAAGTTCCCTCTTTCTGCTGCTTTCTCTGGGCTCAGCTGAAGGAACAAGATCAGGTCTGGCTTTGGGAGACCAGTATCAGGCTGTTTGCACCATTCCAGGCAGAAGTTCTGGCCCCCCAACCAAGAAAACAAAAAAGACAACCAAGTTTCAGGTGAAAAAGAAGAATGTGAAGGAGGGCAAGAAGCAGGTTAGCTGGAAAAGAGGCGTGGGAAGCAGCCCAAAGCACTAATTTCAGGCTGCAAACTGAAAAGGTGATATCCCAGCTTCTCCTGTGGGAATTCAGCCCTGGGAGTTTGGGGGGTTGTTTGGTTGTGGGGTTTTTTTTGGGGGGGAGGGCAGGTTTTGTTAGGGGCACCTGAAGTCAGAGCTAAATGATTTGATCAACTCTTCTCTCCACCCAGCAAGTCTCAGTGCCAAAGGAAGGTGCCCCCAAAACAACCCACAGATCCAGGGTGGATCTTCCTGGGTCCAGATTCACACCAAGTAACCAAATTTAGTTTGTCTGCTCTTTCCAGGGCAGATCTGAGCAAACAGATCATGTCAACACCTGAGCTGGAACTTCTGCCCCTCCATTTCAA